CGGGCATTGTTTCAGCGCAAGCCTCTTTATTGGCGACCGAAATATCCCAAAAGTTCGATCTCAATGAGCATAGTGTCGAGTATCAATCAACTTTAGAATGAACCAAATCCGGCTACCTCACTACTTCCTAATGGACAAGTTGTTCAATTAAGTTTCTAAGGTCAATTAGTGCTTCATGACACTACACAACGGCCCCTTATTCTCCTTGACTACTCAAGAGCTACCGGTACCAACAAATGTGTCACACTAATGTATATATTGCTTTGACCATGTCAGTATACCCCGCACAGTTTCCATAATTTATTGCTACTTACCTAAAAGGTGCCCCAGATCCGGGTAGAGGATCAAAACAAAACCAAACAAGGAACAATAATGTAAAGCAAGCAAGTCAAACAAAGAAATTAAGTAAAGGTGATCTAGTCCTAAGGTAACCCCACTCATAAAAATACCCAGCAGAGTCGCCAGTTCTGTAATACAGTGGGAGAACTGACTTAGCTTGTTTATGTTTGATCGTAATTGTTGCGCATAGCAAGAGTCGCCACCGACTTTTCTTTTATCCAATAAGGAAAGGGTGAAAATAATAGGAAATACTTTTGAGGTTATTTCTCGAGTTCGGGGGGTAGATTATGAAAAGGGAAGGTGTTAGCACCCTTTTCATCCGTAGTTTTCTACGTGCTCTTAGTTGCTTGCTAGATCACTTGCTTTATTTGAAAATGTGCTTTGTGGTGTGGGTTTGAAAATACTTTGAAAACGTCTTTGTAATGATTCTCGCCTCTATAAGAATGCGTACAAAGTGTTGGTTTTGAAAATAGTTCAAAGAGGTGTTTGTTGTGGAAGATGTCTTTGGAAAGTGATTTTGAAAAGTTTCTTTGTAATGATTCTCGTCTCTATAAGAATGCGTACAAAGTGTTTTAACTTTTGAAAATGTTTCAATTGAAAGTGTTGGTGTGAAAATGGTTTTTCAGTTGTGAGCAAGCAAGCAACTACGAGCGTCCTACCTACTCAAAAGGTCTAATGTTCTTTTCCTCCTCCTTTAGATGTTGCTATCTTACCATTGATTTGGTAAGAAGCCCCGTCATTGGATGTGAAGGGACGGGCATGAGTCGTTTGTATAGTCATAGAAGGCAACCTATGGTACGTTTTAGCAATTTCATTAGGGACTAAATCGTTTACCGAAGGCAACATCGAGAGACATCAAGGGACTACGATGTTTTATCGAGGGTCTTTGCTAAAAATCCTATATTCGAGGGACATGACTATTTTCCGAGGCAACAAGTGAGATTATCCTAGAGGTGCATGTGTGCAAAGTGTGTTTGATTGCATGCATTTAATCTTTGATTAGGGTTGTCTACTTGTTGGTTTTATCTTGCCATACATCCTAATTACTAACATTTATATAAAGCAATAAAAATGCAGAAAATAAATATCCTACATTATTACAACCATATTGAATAGCAAGAAAAATATAAAGACGAGCTTAAATAACATCAAAAGAGAGAAAAAGTGAGTCTTTCGATCCAGGAAGTAGGCTCCTTCGATTCACCCTTATTTTGCTTCTTTCAATTGGGGCTGGGAATCCGTATTAGCATGCCCTTCAATTACGTCCTTTTTTTGCTTCTATCGATTGGCCTAGAAGTCATCGTAAGTCTACATTCTTCGCTTCAACCTCCATGCTGCCTCCTTCGAATGCAGGGATGAAAAGCTCCCAAGTTGAGATTCGAAAGGCTTCAATGTTTAGCTAATCGAAGGATACAGAAAACCTGTCTAAAACTTTAAAATGAAACTAACAAGTGTAACTCTTGAAAGATATACGCCAAGGGTTAGCACAATATTATTGGGCATCAAAATCCAAAGTCTAACTAGTCAAGATTGAGATTTTCAACATTCAGGAAGTGAGGATTGAAAGTTAGGGCATGATCAACTTCCTAGATGGGATATCTACATTTTCCTTTTATTTATATGTACAAATGATATTTAAATGAAAAAGTTCCAAGTTTAGAGGAAACTTACCTCTTGAAGATCTTAATTGAAAGAGACGTGGGTGACTTCCTTGGTAGTGGATGGAGCTTCGCTGAAATCTTCCTGAAGCTAGTTCAGTTGCTGCTTTGTTTGGGCAGTAACTGAATCGAAGGAGGGCATGTGATAGTGGTGAGTGAATCAGAGGATATTATATAACAGTCTAGGGAGTTAATCAAAAGACTATTATGTTATAGTTAGGGAATGAATCGAAGGTTAGTTATCTGGCAGTTGGGGAGTGAATCGAAGGATTCACTAATGCATGAAAGGATCTAAGAGTTTTAGAGTTTGAATGTTTGAGAATGTTTGAGGATGTTTGAGAGTGTTTAAGAGTTTAGATAATTTGATAATTTTCTCACAACAAGAGTTTGTTCATCTACCAAAGGCTCCTAAGATGTGTTGTGGAACATCTTATTTATAGATGAAGTTGGCTGAGATTTGGAAGGGAAAACAAAAGAGATTTGAACAAATTGGGTATCCTATTTTTGTAGCCTTTGAGGTGCAGTTTTTGTATGCCAAATTGGTGCAAATATAAGAGCAGCATAGCAGGACTGCTGTGCAGCAGTTTTGGAGTGTTGTGGCCAGTGTAGCAGGCTTGGACTTGGAAGCACATAGGAAACTGGCCAGCAAGCATCTTTGGATATCTCAACCTTTTGTTTTGAGCCCCTATCCCTATCCTTCGACCAGACTCCTTTTCAGACAACAACATTTCTTTCCAAATCAAAGTGTCCCTCGAATGACTCATATGTGTATCCTTTGAAGGGGCCCAAATGGGAGTCCTTCAATTTGGAACATGTATGTGTTCTTTTGAAGGGACCACATGCATCATTTATGTGCATCACTTACAATTCTTTATATGGGCCACCAAGGTATAACCTTTGATTGGGGCACCCAGATATGTCATAATTTAGAGACTTTATGTGTCGAAACAAACTTTCCAAGGGAGATGCTAACCAGTCGAAGCAGGAGTCAAGCATGCTCAAAAGAAATCAAATGCCCCTATCGAAACAGGAATCAAGCTTGTATGTGGGATGTCTCTTTCTTTGTGGGCGCTAGCATGAAGGGAAATTTCTGCCTTGTGAATTTGGCACACATGCAGGACAATTGGCTTCTGATTCGAAGGAAAGCTGCAAGAAGCCATTTCCTTATGCCTGCTGGCATGAAGGAAGTTCCTGCCTTGTAAATTAGAGGAAAGCGTAGAGAAGGTACTTGTCTTTTGAATCGAAGGAGGCCAGAAGGAAGCCACCAACTTCTGAATCGAAGGACACCAACCGGAGTCCAGTCCCCTTTGAATCAAAAGAGGCTACAAGAGGCTTTTTCCATGTGTACGCTAGCATGGTGGGAGCCCCTTGCTTCGTGGGTCGAAGAATGCAGGAAGGAGGTAATTTCTTAATCGAAGACTGCATGAAGATAGCCATTGTTTTGTGAATTAAAGCAAGCATGTCAGGGGTCAATTCTCAATCGAAGGATGTAAGCTAAGCTCGCATCGAAAGAGGCCAAAAACCCAATTGAAGGATGTGAAATCGAAAGACACATGTTCTTCTTAGATTTGATGCTTGAAAGCCCGCTTGTACTTGTGAAAATTTGAACTTTTGAAAATCCTTGTAAGAAAATTCCTTGAGAAATGAGAGGGTAAATTTTGGGGTGCAACAACAGGTAAGCTCCCACTAGATTGTATAAACGAATCATCACAGGATTGATTCAAGTTGTGAGGATGAGCTTGAAGGATCAAAGAGAGATATGTAATCTGAGATAAGGATAAGGCAAGATAAGAATTTTTATTGCTTGTTACAACAATCTAGTTTTACTACATTTGAGATAACAAAATAACCCACCTTATTTTTTGTGCTAAAGTGGTCTTAGGGGAAAGAAAAACTTTTTCTCTTTTGGAACAACTCCCTAGCATTAATTGTTATATAACCTTATAGATGCAAATACCAAGGGAACACCCTAGTTCTTCAAAATGATTTGAATCTGAAACTTTAGAGTATATGTCTCAAACCAATGTCATGACATCTTGTCCCATATTAAACTCATTCAACATTTGCTTCATCCTGAGTAACTGTAACCACTTCTTCTTGCAGTAATGTATTCAACTTTCATAGATGATAAGTTCACATTATTTTTCTCCTTGTTGACCCAATATATTATAAGTTTCTTCTTATCAGTGACATAAAATTTCTCCAACAGCTGAACAACTTCTTCAATTGTCAAAACTTCTTTTGAAAGCTTATTTTTAAGGCCTATCCTCTTGTGACGCAAACACTTTTTGTGTCATGCTTTCCTCATGATATAAGGATATTTTAATTGTGATAATCTCTTTGTAATATGATGAACACGATGTCCAAGGAATTTTCTTCCGTATCTGACACTCATTTAAGCATTATGGTTTCTTCACAATCACCAATTATAGCTTGCTCATCCTTTCTCAGAGGTAAGAACTCATTTTCCACTATGTTACTCAACATGTATAGCACATTTTGGTTGAATTCTCCTTTACTATCTTTGACCACTTGGTTACTCCATAAGATTTAATTGTAACTTCTTTCATCATGTAAACCTTGGGAATCACTGATGTTCTCATTCACCTGCTTTACTTGAAAATCAAGAAAGTAGCTAACATCTTCTACCATGTTCAGCTCATACTTAGTTAGCATTTATTGAATAAAATCCTATGTCATCCTATTGGGGAAGGAATTTTTCACATTCATATAATAATTTCAAAATACATGATATTCTTATAATCAATTTGATCGCTCCAAGATGGGCAATATGATCATAAATATTTCCATTTTCATCAGCATATAGCATAGAGGTTCTTGATTTGACTATCCCAATGAGATAAACACTTTCATCATTATGGGTAGTCATATTATTTATAAATTGTGTGTTCTTTTAAATCAATTTATACTCCTTGATAATAATGGTACAAACCAGATAAGTGTTTTGATTCTTACTTATCAAACTTCCCTTAATGTCTTCACTTATTCTAATGCCTGATCATGGTTAGTAACAACACCATAATTAACTATAGTTGTATCAATCTCAACATCTTCATGGACATGATCGTCATTCTCCTTAAGCACTCGAGGCTTTGTCATAATGTCAGACAGAATGTCTCGGATATCTTTATCGCAATATGTATTAATCAAATTTATTTCCCGGGACTCTTCACCAGAAGAAATTAGAATGTCATGATAATTTCTCATAGGCCTAGACTTGAGTGGAACATTACTCAGATTTCCACCAACAGCTAGATCAAACTTAACAACAAGAGGAATGTTATAGATAATTATTTGATTCATACACATTGTATCTAGATTTTAATACATCAATTCCAGTTTTACCAATTACCTTATCATGGTTTTCGTTAATCAACACAAAAGTCAAATGAGAAGGAATTCTAATAAGAAGAGTTGAGTTATAACCACTATTCTTCTTTAGATTCTTCTTCTAAACAACTGTAGGTTGTTCAAAATTGGAGGACTTCCACTCTTACTATCAACCTTCTGTTAATGACTCAATCCTCATGAGATAATTAGGTATCTTGAGTAAGATGTTGAGACGCTTGGTCTAACATATTGGTTGGTTTTTCCTCTTTATGAGTATGTTATTTATCAATCTTAAGACCTTGAAAATCCCTGATGTCTTCCTCATATATGACATTCTTCGTAAGAACTTCTTTAGCTATTTTAGTTACACCACATTTGAATTTGTAGAAGTTAATATTCCACCTTTAATCACGCAGTTGATTTATCGTGGTCACATTGGTAGTTGAGCTTTTTCTCAACAGTACCTCTTCTCGATCTGGATTAACCAATTTTCCTAAGCTATTGATTCTTACCTTTTCATTATTTCCAAGAGTGACACACACTTTATTTTCTATAGTCATGTTCTTAGTACCCCCATTATCACAATATCATTCATTACTTGAGGAAGCTCTATGTGTTGTATGAGCTATGAAGTCAGTTTAAGTAACATTGGGTTTCTTCTTAGCATGGACTTTTTTGCACCCGCTGCTCTTCAGCTTTGATGGACCCTCAAGATTTGGATATCCATGAAGTTCATAATAATAAGGCCTTATATGTCCAAATATTCCATAATTGTTACATGATTGGTAAAATAGCAAGTGTACTATGTTGTCTCTATAGTAATAATAAGGAAATTCCTCGAATATTAATCTTGAGGACTGCGTATAAGTACCGAGTTTAATGTGTGGTTCAATTAAACAAAACATAACTTTTTTTTTGGTTTAGAATTTTGTCCTAAACAATAATTAAAAAATAAGCATGATGTAAATTATTGTTTTTTCACAAGTATGAGCAACATGCTAGGGGTAAGTGTGTGATTTTCCCCTGTAATATCCTTGACTCTTAATTTGTTTAATAAGTTCGTAACCTTCAACTACCAGATCTTTAGTTTATTTTCCCATATGTCCTTAGTGGGAAAACCTTTGGTCATTCATCCTAATACCTAGGTCCTTAGAGAATTACGATGACACCAAGCCTTTATTTTATCAAGATTCAACCAGTAACTATATGGTATCCCTTGTCCTAGGTGATATCTAATATAGTTTAATCGTACAAAAACCTTAACAATGGCGGTCCAACAAAAATTGTTAATCGTAAATCAATCCTAATTGGTCCTATTAGGAAATCCTTAAACACATTGAACACTTAATTTAAAAGGAAACTATTATATTGCAATCCAGAATTCAAATTCATTACAAAGGAAAAACAGGGACAACTCCCTAGCATTGAGAGGTTTAGCTACTCATAATAATTTTCAAAAGAATTTTAGATGCAATAAAATAGACTTATAATATATGGTGAACTTTGATTTTCAATGGCTTCCGCTAATGAAAAGTCTTTCGTTCTCCAACAATTGCATAAGATCTAATATCAGTTCCTATGAATTCCTTGTGTGCAAAAAAAAAGTCCTCTCCTCTTGTCATATAAACTGTCTCAAATAGTACAAAATCCTTGGTTTTGGTCTAAAAAGTAAAAAACACCCTTCTGGGTACGACTTGATGAAAAATCACAAAAATATGCCAAATCAGCATCTGCCAACACGGCATGTGTCAGATGACACTGGTGGACGTGTTGGCCATCCTGAAGGTTCAATAAAAATAAATCATTTTCTCTACTAACACGGCCCATGACAGGTGACACGGGTGGCCGTGTCAGCCCCCTGAAGTCCTGTATGCTCCATAACTTCCCTCCTAATACGACTCTTGTCAGGTGACACAGGTGGTCGTGTCAAGTCTCCTGATACTTCAATTTTTATTTTTCGAAACTTATGATTTCTCGACTTTATTGCACCGAGTACTTAGATACATCACCTGAATCTGGAACAGTCACAACAACCAACCAAAACATAACATGCATAAATACTCGAAATAAACTAGAAATCATAAAATACTGAAGAAACTAAATAAATCACAAAATGAGATAAAAGATAATGGAATATGACACAATGTGATGCATAATGTTGATAATGATGACCAATCACAACCCGAAAGATATCTTGTTGCTTGTCCTCAAGCAATGTTCAGGACATAGAGAATCAGACACCCCCAAAATATCAACTTAATACAATACCGCTGAGATCCATCGCAAATTAATTTCACTTTCCTTCCCAAGTTTTCCGCTTCCCCAACTCAAGTGTTCTACCAAACTTCCAAATCAATGCATTACTTCACCTGTCATGTCATAACACACTCTCAGGAAGTCTCTAAGGGTTAAAGTATTTTCACTCACAATTCAAAGCATGCATTCTCAACTATAAAGTTTGAATAAAATATAAATTCATTTCACGTACACATTCCACACACTTTTCGAGGTATTTGGGTTATAATGGGGCTTAGGGTACGGTGGGATAAACAAAAAAAAGGGAAAACCAAGGGTTTTTGGCTCAACTCAGTGTTATCATCCTTTTCACTGTGTTACTTTCTTCTTTTCATAATTTATCACATGGGACAACTTAGACACCTTTTTAGTTTGACTTCTTGGTTTAGACTAAACTACTCCTTTGAGTATGGATCTTTGTTTTCTAAACCGAGTTTAATCTTTAGGTAAGTGCACTTTTTCTTTCTTTTCTTTTTCTTTTCAGCATTCAACTTTAATTTTTTTTCAATTCTCTTTTCTTTTTCTTTTATTTTTCATTTCCCTAGTTTATTATAGGTGTCCCAATCCCAAACTTAGAACTTTTACAACTCCGAGAAACATAACACCTAACTGAGCAAGGGTAGTTGACATGTTTTGGGCTAAGGGTGAACATATGCAGTAATATACAAACAAAAGGCTCAGGCTCAACGGGGTTTACAAAGGATAATAAAACAAAAGGCATGGCTGGAAAGGCTCCGGGGTAAATGGAAATAACGTGCCTCGGTGTCTGTCAGTATGTAGTGATATTCAAATAGATCATATGCAAACTCAGAGTGATAGAGCCATACCTGACTAATCTCTCATGATGATAATTATGTGTTTGGCTTTTTATGCTCTCACTATACCGGGTAGAGCTGACAGGTTCCATAATGCCTCTAGTTTGATGTAACTTCCCATTCAACTCAGAGATATTATTTTATTGGGCCTGCACTTAGTTATTATTATTTTATCCAGTAAACACTATTATATTACAGCAACATGTTTTTCTTTTAATAACCCGGTGTAGCGGTAGAAATGTTTAAGACTAAGCCATTGAATTGACTAGACTTGAGCAAATTGAAATAGAAATCGTCACCACGCTTTATTGTTTCCAAAGGAATGGGAAAAGAGCGAGTAACCCAAAAAAAGAGGGGGGAAAGATTCAAGGTAAGGGGGTTGGTTATGTAAAGGGAAGGTATTAGCACCCTAAACATCTACGATACTCCGCAAGAACCTCTTTGTAAAATCTGTATATTTTGGCTATGAAATGTTGTGTAAAAATGGATGGTGGAGGTGAGAAAAGAAATATATTTTTATAGTTTTTGCACCCGCCGCGGTGCGAACCTTTAGTGCCTATTACCACCTTTTCGTGCAATAAGGGATCAGGGTACACGTAGTTCCTCTTTTAAATATTTTTTAAAACACAAGTCTGTTGGTTGATTTTAAGAGATAAGACATCGTTGTCATTGTCCGTGTGGAAAACATTCTTACTACACACAATCATGAGAAAGGAGAATTTGCATCATCTCAAAGTGGAGGATCTGGCTTGGATTTTAAAATCAACAATGCCTCACTCAACACCCAAGTGGAAAATATCTCTCTTCACTACATATTGTAGAAGTATAGTTGTCTACATCACTACAAGGATTGACAAGAGTCTAATCTTTTGAGAAAAGATTTAAAGATAAGAGCCAAAATGGAAAAATAGTTTGAAATGAGATTGATTGACTTTTAGTCTTCTCAAAAAAATGTCAAGGTATTGTTAAGTTTAATGAAGTTTACTTGTGAAATTGTTTTTGAAAATGCATGGACCTAAGTCCAAGTTTATTATGAAAGTGGTTCAGGTTTAAAAGCAAGAAGAGTTTTCAAAAAAGAGGGAGAAAGATTTTTGAAATTAAAGATGATGGGAGGAGAAGAAGAGACTATCCTAAAGCATAAGGTAAAAGATAGGGATAAGAACCATCTAACCAACAAAAAGCCAATACTTGACATTATGAGCCAAGATAGAATTCACATTCTTTGGATTGAAACCAAGCAAGCAAAGATACTATACCTCTTGTGAGAACCAAACTTCAAGTGTATTAGGTCTTCAAAAAAAACTGGGCAGAGTAACGGCTGTATACGGGTGAATTCCAGACTACAAACAAAGTATGTAATCACAATAACCTGCACACAAAACAAACAAACAACCCAATGTCTTGAGGTAAACCTCAAGAACTCCAGACAAAATATCAATTAAGGTTACAAGGTCTCCAACATAGGACAAGGTTTCTAATCCTAAGTCCAAGAAGTCTCATACTTCATAATGCAAAGGATAGTAACCAAATAGTCCAAGTATCATTAAAGTTTTATGGTTTATGTTGATTATTAGGTGTCTTAGAAGAAAAAAGAAGAGACTCGGGTGAGCAAAGGTAAAGATAGCATGAAATGTAAATGCTTAAAAGTAAATGGTGCATAAAGCATAAAAAATAAAGGTTCATAAAGTAAAAAACAAAAGGGTAAAATCAATTATTAGTGATTAGTGGTTAGTTTGATGATCATCTTGAAACTTGCATTTGAAACTCATTAGACGATTGGTAGAACCAAAGCCTCCACACAATAAGTTGCATTTTCTTTTTATCAAGTATATCATCCATTTGGAATCCTCAAAAGTACCATTTAATGAT